GAGGTTGGGTCCGCAGGTGCTGCCGAGGGTGGCGATGGAGGGCGCCTGCCGCCGGCGCGTGATGCTCTCCTTCATGCGGCCCTCGCCTGTCACCTTCACCGTGAAGGGGCTCCCTGCAGGTCACGGGCATCTCAGGACGTGGCCACCAGGAGGGGACCCACATCCTCGGCCCCCTGGAGCCACCCCCCGTGTGTTCCCCCTCTGTGTTGCTTGTCAGCGAACTTGATGTTGATGATGTAGTTGCCGGGCTCGGTGGGGCAGTAGGTGACCTTGCAGGTCCCGTCCTCCACATCCTCGCAGTTGATGTCCACCTTGCTGGGGCCCTCGATGGACAGGCCCAACCCGCCATAGCCTGGGGAACCATGGGGACATGATTGGTGATGTCCCACTGATGGTGTCACCGTCCTGGCCATGGTCATGCCACCATCATGGCCACTATCCAACCTCAGCCACAGCCATCATCCCATCTTGGTCGTGGCCATGGTCACCATCACATCCCAGTGATGACCATGGCCACCATCCTATCCTGGCTATGGCCATGCCACAGCCATGGTCACTACAGCATCACCCTGGGGGCTACGGCTGCACTACGGCCACCATGGCCACCATCCCTTCCTGGCCATGGCCACGCAAGGCAACCAGAATGGTCCAGATGGCCACCACCATGGCCACCATCCAACCTCAGCCACAGTGACCATCTCTCCTTGGCCATGGCCACTACAGTACCACAGCCACCATCCCATCCCAGCCATGACCATGGCCACCATCCCACCCTGGCCATGGCCACCACATCATAACCATGGCCATGACCCCATCCTATGTTGGCCACAGCCAACACATGATCTTAGCCACCATTGCATCCAGCCATGACCATGGTCACCATCACATCCCAGTGATGACCGCAGCCGTGATCTCATCCTGGCCATGGCCATGGCCTCTATCCATTCCTAGTCATGACCATGGCCACAATCCTATCCTGGCCATGTCTACCACCCCATCCCACCACAACCACCCCATGGCACTGACCATCCCACACGGTCCCCCCAGCCCATGGCCCCATGGGTTGTGGTCTCACCGGCGCTGCGTGTATCCACGATGAACTCAGCCACCTCGAAGGTGTGACCTTCCACCAGCCCCTTGCCCCACACCTTCACCCTGCTGGCGTCCCCGATCTCCGACTGCCCCACCAGGATCTTGAAGGGGCTGTTGGTGACGTGCTGCCCGCTCTTCTTCACGCTCACCACGTGCTCACCCACCTCCTTGGGCGTGAAGGAGATACCTGGAGGGGACACCATCATCAGACACGTCCAACAGCCCCTGGTCACCACCTCCAGCCTCTGGCCACCACCACCACCATGCCCTGGGTATCCAATACCACAGAGCCACCCATCCCTGTGACCCACAGCCCTGTTGTCCCTGTCCCACATCCCCAAGTCCCACATCCCCATCCCTGTGTACCCACCACCCCACGCCCCATGTGCTAGTTCTCCTGCAACCACATCCCAATGTCCCCATGTCCCCATACCCCATATCCCCATGTCATAGAATCATAGAATAGTCAGGGTTGGAAAGGACCTTAAGATCATCTAGTTCCAACCCCCTGCCATGAGCAGGGACACCACACACTAAACTATGTCACCCAAGGCTCTGTCCAGCCTGGCCTTGAACACCTCCAGGGTTGGAGCATTCACAACTTCCTTGGGCAACCTATTCCAGTGCCTCATCACAATCACTGGGAAGAGCTTCTTCCTTATATCTAACCTAAAGTTCCCCTGTTTAAGTTTAAACCCATCACCCCTTGTCCTATCACTGCAGTCCCTAATGAAGAGTCCCTCCCCATGTCCCCATATCCCATGTCCCATATCCCATATGGCCATATCCCCATATCCCCATATCTCCATATCACATATTCCTGTATCCCATGTCCTATATCTCACATCCCATATCCCTATGTCCCCATGTCCCCATATCCCTATGCCCCATATCCCACATCCCGTGTCCCTCGCACCGATGTGCCGGTTGGGCAGCCTCTTGAGCAGGCAGGGCTCCTCGGTGCCGGACGGGGCTCTGATACTGGCCGTCAGGAGGCTCAGGTCCGTCTCCGTGATCTTCAGTGACACGTCCGTGGAGGTGCCCACGTTGAGCTGGGACGTCCGCATGGAGTCGTCCCCTGCGGAGCTGCCGTCAGTGGGGCCATCCCCATGGCCATGGGTGGGGTCCTTAAGACCCCAGAAGATCCCCATGGCCATGGGATGATGTTCCCAAGGACCAACGAGGTCCCTATGGCCATATGATAAGGTCCTGGTGGTCAAGGATGTACAGGGACACCACATCTATGTGATGGGCCATGCAGGTGTCCCCATGACCACATAGATGTCTCCATAACCACACAAGCATCCCCATGGTCATACAAAGGTCCCAGGACCTTAGTGGGATCCCAATGCCCCATGAGGACCCTATAGCCATGTGGTGATGTTCTGTTGGCCAGGGATGGACAGGGACACCACATCTATGTGGTGGGTCCCCATGACCATGCAGGTGTCCCCGTGACCATGCAGAGATCAACATGGCTTTGGCTGCCGTCCCATCTTAGTCATGACCACCATTCCATCCCATCCACAACCATCATCCCATCCACTCCATGGCCATGGTCACCATCTGATCCCAGCCATGACACCCTGCAGGTGTCCCCATGACCATACAGAGGTCCCCATGACCTTGGTGGACCCTGGGTCCTGTCTCACCGGTGATCTTGGCAGTGAAGGGGCTGCCTGGGATGTGCTTGTCGTCAAAGCGCACAATGATGTTGTAGTCCCCCGGCGCCGTGGGCAGGTAGGACACGGTGCACGTCCCGTCCTTGTTGTCCTGGCACGTGATCTCCGCCTTGGTAGGCCCTTCCACCGCCAGCGAGAGCCCACCTAAGGGACACGGCATGGCCGTTAGGAGCCATTGAGGGCTTCCAGCCTCTTCCCAACCCTTCCTGGTGGCATTGAGGATGTCCCAAGACCCTCTTGGTGCCCCCTTTGGCTACCACTCACCCTCGCCGGCATCCTTGGTGACGATGGTGAAAGTACAAGGCTTGTTGACCATCCCATGGCTCAAGCCTGGCCCGTAGGCGCTCACATGCCGGGGGTTGATGGCGTCCACATAGAACTGGAGGGGACTCCCTGAAGACAAGGAGAACATTGGTCAAAGCCCCCCATGGGGACACCTAATACCATGACAGGCTGCTCAAGCCATGGCTGCACAACCCAAGGTGGGATCCACCATGCTCAACCACCTCCCAGAGCCCCCAGTGCACCCAGAGCGATGTCTCACCAGGGATGTGGTTGCCATCATAGCGGATGTCCATCTCGTGCAGGCCCTTCTCAGTGGGCGCGTAGCGCACGGTCACCGTCCCATCCTTGTTGTCAGTGATGTTGGGTCGCGCCGTCTTCCCCGAGGGCATCCGCACCTCCCCTATGGTCACCAGGTCAACCGGGTGTAACCATGGGGCTGGATCCTGCCCCACTGTGCCCCACAGTGCCCCCCACACTGAGGTCTCCCCACCCTGGTACCTGTGATCTCGCCCTTCTGCACGGTGAAGGGGATGACCAAGTTGAAGGGCCGCAGGTTCTCAGCGGTGGCTGGGGGCTCCTCTGTGGCCTGAGGTGTGGGGTAAAGACCATGGTACCCATTGTGGTGGGCAACACCATGGTGGCCACCATGGACCCAAAGCTCTGCCCCATGGTGTCCACCATGTTCTCCCAACACTATGGTGACCATCATGGTCTTCCAATCCCTTGATCCTACCATGGCCTCAGCTCTCTGCCACATGGCACCCATCATGCTCTCCCTGCTCCATGATGGCCACCATGGCCTCCTAACCCCATGATGGCCACCCTAGCCCCAAGTCTCTGTCCCATGGTGCCCACAATGATATTACAACCCCATGCTACCCAGCATGGTCTCCCAGCCCCATGGTGCCCACCATGGCCTTTAACTCCATCATGTCCACCATGGCCCCAACATGGCACCCATAATGCTCTCCCTCCTCCATGCTCCCAGTCATGGTCTCCTAACTCCATGGTGCCTATCACAGTCTCCCAACCCCATGATGGCCACTATGGCCCCAGCTCTCTGCCCTATAGCACTTATCATAGACTCCCAACCCCTTGGTGCCCACCATGCTTGCCCAACTCCATGAAGACCACCACTTCCCCAGCTCTCTACTCCACGGTGCCCACCATGATTTTCAATCCCATGGTGACCATCATGGTCTCGCAATCCCCTGGTGCCTATCATAGCACCAAATCTCTGCCCCATGGTGCCCACCATGGCTAAACTATCTGCTCTTTGGTGTTCATCACAGTCTCCCAACCCCATGGTGACCACCATGGCCTCTCAGTTCTCTGCCCTATGGTGCCCACCATGATCTTCCAACCCTTTGGTGACCGTCATGGCCCCAACTCTCTGCCCCATCGCACCCATCATGGTCTCCCAGCCCCACGTTCTCCACCCCACATCACCCCACTGTCACGCACCAGGACATGGAAGGGGCTGTTGGGGACGTGCTCGCCGCCGAAGCGGATGGTGATCACGTATTTCCCAGGCTCGGGCGCTGTGTAGTAGATGTCGAAGGTGCCGTCGTGGTTCTCCACCACGTCCACGTCCAGCTCGGCGCCGTCGGGGGTGGACACTTTGCAGGTCACCTTCCCTTGCCCGGCCGCTTTGGCGTCCACTGTGATCACCGTCTCCTCCCCGATCTGGATGGTGGGACCCAGGCAGGCACCTGGAGGAGGTTTGGGGGGGTCATGGTCATGGGGACCCGTCTGCAGCCCCACAGATGACCCCCTGGCCCAGCCCCTGCGGCACTTACCCAGGCCATGGCCCCCAATGGACACTGCGGAGAGACCAGGGAGAGGCACGTGAGAAGGGGCAGGGGCGGGGATGG